GCAAAATGGTAAATTGTTCAAGTCCGAAATCCACGGGGCTGAAGTGATCAGCGTCAATGTTGAGAAGTTCCGCAAGCGATACAATGAGCAGGGTTCACGGATGACCATGCACAGCAGTGGCAGCTTTGAAGACAACAGTCTTTCCATTTTGGATGACCCTGCACCTGCTTCAGCTTCCAAGAGTGCTTCGGAGGCGCAAGTGGCACCTGTGATGACTCTTGTTCACATGCGTGCTTTTTTTTCCGGGCATTCTTATACTTTTGAATCTGGTGGCTTTGGATATCATGCATGCTCCGAGATGAAAACATATTTAAGGACCAAGGGCCCACCTGAGAAATTGGCATTTCCATCGATCTCTCAAACGACTAACCCGTATCTCATGCTGCCGAACATGCTCCTGGTTCTGGGACGCAAATTGGACAATGCTTTGCAGCTCAAGGCAGCCTGTTGTGTGCATTTATAGTTTTGAGTCTGCATGTGTGTTACTTTTGGTAGGGGATGCATGTTTGCTCAAAGGAGAAACTTGATTCCTGTCCCAGCTGCAAACGAGCGGTGGAGTCAGGGCCTTTGTGAACAGCTCTCATGGTTTGAACCTCTGGCCTACTACAACCATTCCGAACGTGCCTGTTCAGAGGTATTCGTCTGGGATCACTGAACCGCTGACGAAGCTGCAAACGTACCACAAGCAGCTCATCCAGCATCAGTCTGATGCAATTGCTAGCAGCCCCGACAGGCTTGGAGTCCAGCGCGCACGAACATGATTTGTCCAACTGCAGCAGTGACTCTTTGAAGCTGTCTGCAGGACGAAAAAGGACAGTCTGGTCCAACTGTTCATTGAGATGACGAAGCAGGATTTAGCAATGAACCTGTATGTTGTCAGGGCCAAGTCACTTCCTCAGGTGAATGAATGTCCTCCACAATGAATGAATGAACAAGTGCAAGTCTGCACTGGAATTTGGAAGTGCTACTGATTGAGGACATGGAAGCCTCCTGTCACCGAGGAGGAGCGGAAGGCAAAGGAGCAGGAAAAGAGAAACAAAGTGGCTGCAACCAAGAAAAGCAAGAAAGGAAAGAAAGAAAAAAAAGAAAAGAAAAAAAAGACCAAGAAGGGTCAGGAAGTCAAGAAGGAAGCCTCAGCAAGCTCTGTGGCAACAAACGACTTGGATTCTGAAGAGCCGGATTCTGTCGAGGAACCGTTCCTTGTCTATGAGCATGCATGAATCCATGAAACATGGTAGGGCTTGTGCGCAAATATGCAATAAATCACACATCTGACTTTCTTGGGGGCTCATCTATCAAGGCCTAAGAAGAAGGCAAAAAAGTGAACAGGATGGCCTCCACCATGGTACAGACTGTAGTTTTGGACCACGTGTGACCACGTGCTTGGTTCTGCCAGAGATGTGTAAAAAATGCGTTGTCTAAGCTGCTGATGCCCTGTGACACTGGCATGCGGTGCAGTTCTTGGTTGAGTATTTTTTCAAATAAATGTGCACGCATGTGAATGTTTGGAGGCCTTTTCGACCTGCCGGATGAAGGTACGGGATAGATCAGTTTGTCTGTGCATGTGACATGTGTGATAATGTTCGCCGCTTTGGTGGCCTTGTTGGCAGGTCGAAGCAAGGAAACAAAATCCTGCAGATCTCGTAAACGGAAACGACCACGCCAGGAATGTCGACCCCTTGCATGCATGAAGTTAGTGTGTGAGTTTGACAAGCTTTGTTGTTAGCTTGATAACCATGCATGCATGCTCAGGAATAGACCTCAATGATGTCAACAGGCTAGGTGACAAAGAGAATGATCTGGATATTGTCCTGCTCGATGCAATGATTGAAGGGTTTGATACAGGAGTTTCTTGGTTCTCACAAGGTGCTGCTGGCAGCATCTTTCTTTTGCAAACCCTCAATCCGAGGCTGACTCGGCAAGGCATGTTGTATCCATGGGTCAGCTGTTTGACCAAATGCGGACGCCAGGTGGATGTCGCTTGCTGAGATCTGATGTTTCTCTTGGGTTGAACTAATATGATGTGATCATTACTGTCTTGCTTCTTACAAAGGCAAAAGCCAGTTGCTTGCACGAATGAAGTCGTGGACCCATAGACGCAATTGGTCCAGAAATCTACACCGTTTGATCTTCAGATTCGGCATGACTCTCAATGTCCTTATCAGCGTCTTGGAAGTTCCGGCGACCTTCAGAGGAAAGCTGGTCAACACACCATGGCCATGTCTTTTGTTCTCGTCCTGGGCAAAGACAATCTTCGACAAGACTGAAGGACAACCTTTGTTGAACGGCCATACTTTGGCCGATGAGCCAGCCTGGCGTGAAGACCTGCGCCGCTTCTGGAAACGATATGGGGAAGCATTTTCCCATCCAGTTTTTCGAGACAAACTGGATTCTTTGGACACTTGTGTACCTTGCTGTTTGCACGGAGACGAAGGGAGAGGCAAACATCGACGTGCAGTCATGGTAACATCTATCCAACCGATGCTGCAGGGAACAGGGCACTCTTTCATCAGTCGCTATCTATTTACAGTTGTTCCGTCTGAATCCTATGCGGATGATGCTACATTTGACATGCTGCAGATGGAGCAGGTGGCAGATCTTCAACGGTTGTATGATGAAGGAATCGAAGATGCTCAGCTACAAACTAGTCTTGCTATTGCGTTGCGCTTTCCTTTTCTGCCATCCAATGTTCAAGGTGACGATGCCTGATGGCACGAAGCGCACATTCTTCATTGTGTTGTGTGGGGTAAAGGGGGACTGGCCCTACATCAGTGGCTTGGCCTGCTGATTCTTGCTGGTGTCTGCACACATGTGACTTTATTTTTCTGTGTGCATTGGCTTGATATTGTGAGGAAAATGCCATAAGTTGAGCGCTGGTTTTGCTTCCTTAAGAGTTTGTCATTACTGCTCCGCTGTTGACGCCTAGCCTGATCAGAACAAAGGTTCACCATGACCAAGCATGTTATGTATTTGTTGCCAGCCGCAGGGAACCTTGCATTGTGTGTTTGAGGACTGGTTTGACATGAAGCCAACTGCTCAGTGGAGGCAGCAACGACCCCATACTCGCGCTGTAAAAGGTTTTGTCAGCCTGCATGCTCTTCCTGGAGGGCACGAGTGTGTGGGTTGTCCAGACCAAATGCATACATGGCACCATGGATATGGACGTGAGTTTGCGTCCAGCGCTATTGCCGCTTTCATGAATATGCCATGGACCACTACATATGTGGTTTTCATTTTATTTTGGCTACCTGCATCTAATTGGTTCCTTTCAGGTTCTCTTGGCCTGTAGATGGCGTGTTTTTGGTGGCAAAACCATTGATGATCGCCTCGAGAATGCCTTTGACAGCTTCACTTCTTGGAGGATCGCTACGAAAACCACGACCTCACTGACCAAGTTTGAACTCAAGACCTTTAAGATGGATTCGCCGCTTGGTCAATGAATCGTCTGCAGTAAGCCAGCAGCCGACTTATATGATTTGTAAATGACTAATAGACTATTTTGTCATTGTCTCTGACAGGCTCGACACCTGGCCAGGAGCATGTGGGAAAGCTCATGACACCACCGCGCTGACGAAATGGATGTTGGATGTTGTGTCAAAGGCCAATTTTCATTATGACCATGTGCCCTGCTTAGTGTCCATATGTTCTTCTTGTGGCGCTTGTGGTAACATTCTCACTACCCTACCATGCCAGATAAGGGAGCGCCTGCTGATGTCCTGGGCCTTCTCGTCTACACGCTCGAGAACATAAACCTTTACTTCACAAGTCTTGGGAAAGACATGTGGATGGAACAGCAAAGAGCACTCACTTGCATAGATGCCTGTCAGAAAATGACAGAATCTCGGTCGGTGATACTGTGGATGATGGGCAAGCAGTACAGAATGAGACAGTCGGGAGGACTACTATCGCGTGTGGCTTTGTCTAAGGAGGGATGTGCTGCTTTGTATGTATGGGCCAAAGGGGCAGGCTTCAAGCTTTTCAAAACGAAACCCAAGCTTCACATGCAGCAGGAGATTTCGAAGCTTGTCTGTATATTCTTAAATTTGTCATGGCATACTGGCATACATCCAATGGTTGCCAACCAGTTGTTTTGCGTACGAGGGAATGGATGAGCGATCAAGTGCGACGAGGTGCACATTACATCTTGTCCCCCAACTGTGTCCTGGCTACAGTAGAGTAGATGTACATGTATAAACGTGGTCGGTGCAGTTTGGCCTGCCAATGTTTTATCAGGCTACGCCACGTGGCAGGATGAAGACTTCATTGGAAGAGCGTCCTGACCGCATGAAACAGGACAGCATGCATGTTGGTTGAAGCTACATGTCCAACATGATGTTGCATTCGTTCACGACCTGATGGTTCCACACCTGATGGCCTGGTGACTGCATGAATGACTGGGCTCAATGACTAGGTTAACAAACCCAGGAAATTGTTTGCATGCATGTGTCGGTGTCTGCACGCATGCTTGAATAGGTGCACGCATGGTTTGTTTGTGCATGCATGGATTTGCATTCATGCGTCATTGCAATGCAAAACATGAACGTGTATACACCCAAACCTGCAGGTTTGCAGAACATCTCGACGTTGTCATGCTTGGAGTTTGGCAATTAGAACGGCACAAAGATGTCTTGGACACTACCGAAGAGTGTGGTGCAAGAAGCATTGGATCAAGCGTGCCGGGTGAAAAAAGTTCAGAATGCTACTTGGGTGATCATGGGAGTGCATGGGTGGTCAATGTATGAAACTATTGACATTCATCTCGAACACATTTTTCGCGAAGAACCTAACTCGAGCACAAACATGTGACTCGAGCACAATTGTTCTGGTACACTTTTTTATGTACCAGTGGAGGCTTCAGGTAGCTGTTGAAAGGGATGTTTGGCACCATTCTTCAAAGAACACGTGTGAACATTGCAACGGAATCATCCAGTGCTATGATGATGTGCTAAGTTGGCCTGCGTCCACTTATCGCGCCTTCCGTCCACTTGGCCGCGTGCTAGGTGAATAACGAGCGTAGCAAGAAGCGGCGGGAGCTGCGGATCTTCCTGCAGACCCGGAGGGTTCCCACTGCAGCTTGGGAGATTCAAGCATTGGTTCATCAAAACTATCGAAACAACAGAGGCCAAGGCAAAACTATTTGGGCACCATCGAGGTCTAGGTTTTTGGGGCGTGTTTGGTGTCTCCTTTTGTGGGACCTCTGGTTTTCCAAACCAGGACTCACTGGGCTTGAAGGTTCAAGAATGTGAGCTTGCTATTTTATATCATGTGAGCATGGCATTGCTAGGAAACTAGATCATTTTTCCCAACTGCAATGGGGTTGATGGCTTTGCTTGTGTCGGGAGTTGGTGACACCACGCTGGTGTATCATGGTGTATCAGGTGTTTTTCCCATTTGTTTAACTGTCCTGGCTGTTTCAAGTCTTTGTGGCTCCACTCGGCCCAAGTCATTCCACATCGACTCACAAGCCTCAGGAACTGTTGATGCGCGTCATGAGTTATGCAGACTACAAGATCGCTCGTCACAGTCCTGTCAGCTATGACAGTGCTTTGGCGGAGAGTTTCATGGATTGTGTTAGGACATGACATGCTCATGCATGCCCTCGCATGTCCTGTGTTTGAAGGTTGATGAATGACATGTTAGCTGCACCAACAAATGCCCGTGGATGAGAACTTGACACCTGATGATAACTTTCCGCTGTCCAAACGTGATTTGATTTCATTGTTTGTGAGTGTATGCAACATAGAAATTGGCAAAACCAAAGTCCTCGAGCCCCGGACATGTTGCACTGACCATGCGCGGGTAGGTTTTTGAGTTGAGGACTTCGCCCATATTCTTGGGCATTCACTGAGGGTGACCTATAATCTTATACATGTTGGCTTGACTGGGTGTGCATCTTTGTAGACATTTCCATAATGTTCAATGTTGTACATTTTCTATATATAATGTGCTCAATTTGCTTTGCTCGCATTGAACCCATGTTGATTCATACGACATGGCCTGATCCTGGTGCAGCAGTCCTGTAACGTTTTGCTGCAATGGCTTGCAGCACCCGACCCGACCACGTCCGACTCAGGCAGCCTTATATCTCCCATGTTGGAGGCCGAACTGGCTATTGTGAACTTCGGCAACATCCTGTTGCTTGGCGTCGAACACGAAGAACACACTCTTCCGTTCGGTGGAAGACATGCAGGGATTTCATCACCTGAAATGGTGATGATGGTGACTCAAATGAACATGCCTAGGATTTGCCCTAGTCGGAGGATGTGTTCTTTCCAAATCAAGGAGGCCCAGCCCTCACATTCAAGGGCTCAAGAAAGAACAGTTTCTGTGGTTGAGGTGACTCAGCCATATAAGAAATAGGAATATCAGCTGGCTGGACAAGCTTGAGCAGCACTTAGCCTGAGGACCGAGCACCCGGTCTTCAATATGGTCCGCACACTATTCCCAAACATCTTCGCTGATTTGTGCTCACCTCAGACCGCTGGTGCGCTTGAGATCTTCGGCAGTCCGAAAGGGAAACTCTCAAGCAAAATCTACGAAAAAAGAAAGACTATTTGATGAGATTCAAATGTCATCAAAATCAATCAAGCAATCAATGTCTTAGAGAGGTTGTCATGCGGCGAAATTCCATGACACCTCAGAGGATTAGAACCAGGATGAACTAGGATGGTTGAGCATCTCTATATGGGGTTGTGAATCAACCGTAGCGTCAAACAAGCTTAAGAGTCCTAAGTATGGCCATTTCTTTTCTCAAAGGCCGTGAAGCTTAACCATGGAATGTGAAGAGATTTGCCCCATGATGTTGCTTGGTCTTTAGTAAGTAGGGAATGACAATGGATTTGACACAGTTGGAAAATATTTGGCACTACTGTGGCCACTAGATGCCACTAGCTTCTGACCATGAGTCACCCTGGACACCTGCAAGATTTAAGGTTTTAGCATGGACCTCTCCTCACCATGCAAGAAATCCATCGCTTCAGTCCTGGCTTCGGGTCGACCCGTCTCGACCATCGATCCGACAGGTCGAGACAGGTGTCGGGTCTGTGGTCACCGGGGGGGCCGAAGGACAGAAGGACCGATGGTCAGACTGGTCAGGTCGGCGGTTTCTGCGGTTTCTGCGGTGGTCGGCCGTGCGTCCAGTGCCGAGGTGCAACTCGTTGGAGAAGAGATACTTTTGCGAGATGGAGTATGTGTTTCACGCAGGCAGTTGGACAGGAGTGACAAAAAAAAACTATCCCTGCTGATGTTGGTGTGTTTCTGCGGGCTTTCTCTGAGAAAAAATATCTTTAAGTTATATACGTAGTAGTCTCTCCGGAAGGAAAAGATTGTGATTGTCAGGACCAAGGCATGCAACACGCGTTAACCTTGAACATTTACAATAGTCTACCGGATTCTCAATTCAGTGGATTGATATTGGCCTGCCTTCAGATGCGCAGACTAAGTCACTAGAGATTCTTAGGCGCCTGTGAATGTTTTGTGTCCTTTGCCTGTGATCGGCCTGTTGTTCCTTTTTGCGCTTCAGGCACGCTTGTGGAAATGATACTTGGCTTGGGAAGCCAAAAACCGTACCTTGAAAGAGGGTGTTGCTCTCAGCTGTTGCAAGCTCACAGAGATGCATGAAACAGCATATATGTATATACATATATATATAAGCTCCCAAATCACTGGCTTGTACAGAAAGATAGTTTTGCGGGGTGGTTGTTTTGTCTGGGGAGTGTAAACCAGGACCAGCAACGAAGTGAGAGACCTGAAAAAACACCGTGTGATGCATTTAACTGTCAATATCATGCACCTGGCTCGCCCTGGTCATGAAGTACATTAAGTGAAGATCAAGGAAGTGGTTGGGCCACGCGGCTTGTGAACAGTCATAACAGCCCGGAGAGATCCCCCAGAAATGGGGTAGAGTCTTGAAACATGAAAATACATGAACAACTTCAGCAGTTTGCAGACGTGTTCAAGATCAATAGTTGTTGTGCACATTTTGACGTGTTGGACGAAAAGGTGGCGAAGGATGAAACCACGGTGTTGTTTTGTCCATCGAGAAGATCTCCTACTTAGTATATATAATAAACATACTTATCACTTGGAGTTGATACATAGGTGATCATAGTAGGTGGCTTCGAGCAACGCTGTCAGCCGTTTTCCTCTTGCTGTGATCTTGAAAGGACAACATGTAGGTCCTGTCCTGCCCCATTGTCCAGCACTAGCAGCCATCCCGGTCAATCCCCACCCCACTCGTGCCCAGGATGTACATCACCAGTCATGGCACTTTTTCCTTGATGAAGGACCGGGAACCGCATCGACCGGGCACCCCGTCTTTGTCACTCGACCGGGTCGGCACGGGTCACTCGACTGGACACGACTAGACTGAGATCCACCTCTTGGTCGGCCAAATGTGGCGTTGTATGATGTACGTGTTGTGGGATTGGACATGTCTCACGGAGAAGCACTTGGATGCACCTGGTTGTGGTCAAGCGAGCAGGGTTCATGTGATTGATTTAGGGTCTCAATGTTTGCCGAGTGAAGTTGCAACAAGAGGGGGTTCCTTTTAGCGCGATCAAGCGGGAGTGTTTGCATGTATCAACAGTGCCAGGAGGGTGGCAGAGTGGTCAAAGCTACTACCAAATCCCATGGCCAAAAGTTGCAGATAGGCCGACCAATTCCTTTACTGGTATTATAAGATGATGTTAACAGCTTCAGCTTGAGGTACTTAGCACAAACTGTTTGGACAAAACTCTCCGGTGGATTTGGCACGGCCTGCAGGAAATAGATCGGAAGTTAGAAGCCACGGCTGAAACTGATCGGGGCCATGAAGGGCCAGAACATGCTCTTTTGCTTCTCTTCCCACTGAAGCAAACAAGCAAACCCACTGCTGTGTTTCCCGCACCGGTTGCTCCCACCCGCTCACGGAGTCACCCATGAAGGCGCTGACCGGTCAGGACAAGAAGGCATCCAAAGTAAATACCTTCACGGATGAGCGGCACTACTTCGGGGAGGCCCAGTTGGGATGCGAGAGCCAATGGATACTGTGGGAAAGCAACATGTTGCCATATATTTGCCAAAGGCCTTTGAAGCGTAAGTAAGGACCACACCCCCTTAACAGCAAGAAACGTGCAAACAAGCGGGCAAACGGGCACAGTGGCGGGCATCGGTGGCGAACGGGGTCAGAAATCAACGGCGGTGACGGAGCCTGAAGAACCAGGGTCACTCCTTGGACGAAGAACGGCATCAACTCATGTTCCAGAAAGAAGAGGCTCGTCGGTATGCTCAACAAACTATCCCAAAAATCCAAAAACGTCCAAAGACTACTATAGACGGAAGAATGCATTGACTGCTAACAATGAAATCATAATATATAGTGTGCGATTGACTTGCAAATTTGGAATGTTTAAATTAAATGTTGTTTTGCACAGGGCCAATGAGTGCATATTAGTTAGTAGTTACAGTTCCGAATGGGGACCAACAACATGTTCTACGACCTACGTACCCTGCATGAAAATCGCTGATTTACGGCGCATCAGAATTAGAACCAGAACTGTCCCCTGTATTTGGACTCTTTTTAAGCCACTTTCATGATTGTTCATGCATGTAGCAATCCAATATTGGGCTCATGTAGCCTTCTTAGTCCGGTCAGGTGGCCCTGTACGTGGAAGCCGCTTTGCATCCTTTCGCCCTTCAGACGGCTTCCTTTGCGGAGGTCTTTGTGCTTTCGGTAAGTACTTGGGCTGTGTATGGTAGTGGGTCTAGGCCAAGCTTTCGCTCAAACAAAGGACTTGGACCAACATTTGTTAGATGTTTCTGTGTCAACGCCGAAGCTGCCGTTCTTCACACAGCTTTCTCCATGCGTTCTGCGCGCCCAGGTAGATTGACCAATGTGCTGGTGAACTCACCCCTATGCGCCACGATGTTCGTGGAATATGCCACCGACTCTTTGGCCGAACTTCGATAAGGCTAGCCAAATACCGCAATATTCACCAAAAAATAACAAAACAGCTGGATTTGACAGATGGCAATAGAGGGGAGAGAGAGAGAGAGTGAGAGAGAGAGAGAGAGATAGACTAGATAGAAGTATATAGACAACAACACAACAACAACAACAACAACAACAACACCAGCAACAACAGCAACAACAGCAACAACAACAACAACACCAGCAACAACAGCAACAGCAACAGCAATGTTGTGGCTACCATCAATTGACAGCAGAGGCAGAGAGGATGTGAGATGCTGAGGATTTCATTGGGCGTTACAAAGTGCCAATGCAGCCAACTTGGGAGGAGGTAGATGACCTTGTGCCCCGGCATGTTTCGTACAAAGCCTGTACTCAAGATGAACATTCTTATTGAAGGATATTGAAGGACTGATCAAATCTTACAGATAGTCATAGTATGTGATAGTATAGCATAGTATAGCCACATCATGTGCCGTATGCTTTTGTTTTGTGCCCTAGACTAGACCGCATTTATTCAGTTTCACCTCGCAGGCTCGACGCAGAAACAGCACCGTTCAGCAACCGACCAGGCGTCGTCGTGACGGGAGGTGACGGGAGCTGTTTCGCTTAGCGCCCAGGTGAGGTTGCAGGAGGAATGTGCTCGGGAGTCCTGTGACCCTTGGCCGCCATTGGCCCAAGAACCACCTCCCGAAGATGGATTGGGGCAAGCTGGATTCCGATCTTGGGCTGGTCCTGCACTCATCACCAGCTAGCATCAGCTAGCTGCAGTTGCTTTTGTCTTAGAAAGTTGGCTCGGGGCCAGAATTGCCAGAACCCAGAAACATTCCACCGCTAGGGGCCCCGCCGTTCGACTCCACTGGCCGCTCTTTGCACTGCCTTCTTCACCTGGCCCTGCTCGCTTTCGTCAGGTGATCATAAGGGAATTCCCGGATTCCGTGCAATGAATGGATTCGTTGGCAGAACCCTGCAAAGCACCCAAGAGAATGGAACAGGTAGCAGCAAGACCCCAAATCCAAAGGAACAGGCACACCATATGTATGGGTACTTGGAGGGTCCAGGTATACATACGGTGGATTGTTTACAGGTCATTGATTGAGTCTAGCCGTACCCTCCAACAAGTTCTGTTCTGAGATGTTCTGAGCACCCTAGCACGTGCCTGGAGGGTGTTCCTTAAAGCGCTTTGGATCGGTCACGGGGTTGACTGTCTGGTCACCACGTTGCTTTCCAAACCGAAGTAAGAGCTTCCAGACCACACAAAAGCTGCAGCACTTCCGGCAGAAATCACCAACACAATGCCAGGATGGTTTTTCCATAGCATGTGTGTAGTCATGTGTGTGTGGTCGAGGGCAGTGCATAAGCATCATCCGAACTTGACTGAGGCAAACAACTCCTTTGCCTTGCCCATCAACCTGGACAGCCGGAAGTACTTGGCACACCTGGACTTGCGCTACATCCAGGTGACCCTGACACTATCCCAGGAAGCTTTCCCTGACCTTGAAAGACATACCTTGTGACTTGTAGAAACCATATTGTTTCTTGTCGTTTTCGGGTGCCATGCATCCTTGTTTATCCTTGTGTAGTGTAGTGCCTGGTCCTTTGCTCTTGCCCCGCACCACATCCTCCACCTCCGATGTAAGTGGTCCCAAATTCGTTGCGTAAGTGATCCCTCTGATGCACAAGTGATCTACCCGCCCCTGCGGGGAGGGCCAGGAGCCCCTAGTAGCGTCCTTACTCCTAGTAGTAAGGTTGAGCAATTTGTATCTGAAACATGGACCCTGAAAGCACTTGCTTCCAGCTATGCCATCTTCATTTTCAGAACCCGAGCAGACGGGGGATGCCCAGTCCAGGGTTCCTAGTCCAATTTTCAAGGTTCCCATTGACCTTCCCCCCTGGATGCCCTGCAGGATGACTTTGATTCTTGTGCCCGGTTCAGGCAAGAAATAAAGGTTTCTTTCCGCACGAAGCCACATTCTCTCGCCTTTGTTTCATCATGTTTCATCAATGGGCACGCTGCTAGCCACCAAAGTAGGTAATGCAGACAAAGCAAAAAGCATAAATAGCAATCTTTCTGTCCTCGGCAGAGGAAGCAGCAGCAACTTGTGAAACTCCACACTTTGAATTAAAAAGGAGGACTCAAATGGACTCAATGTGTGTATATATATATACATCCGTTTTTGGATCCGATTTGATACCTTTCTTGATGGGAAAAAGGATTGAAAAGACACGAAAAGGCTATAGTGTTTTTCTTTTTTATCAAGGATGATCAAGGTGTTACCTCATGTTCCAGCTATGTCAACACAAGACACCTCAGCTCAGTCTCTATCCTTTTTGTTCGTTCCGTTCGTTCGCACGTTTGTTTAGCCGTTTCCCGTTTGGGGTCCGCGACTCCGACCGATTCTGTGGGAGGCCGATCCGACTTGCTCTACCCAGGTGCGTGATGGGTGTGGAGAGGGACGGTGTCAACTGGTGACGAAAGACCCTTCGAGGGTTTTTCACGTGGGTCTCAAGACTCAAGACTTTTTACTGTTTTCTAACTCGACTGAGAGCCCTTCCAGTTTTGCAAACCTTATTTCCTTCCCGGCCACCGAACACCGCTGAACAGGCATCGGTCTTCCTATACCGACGGTCTTCGGCACTAGGTCACCACACGGTCTGCCACATGGTCACCACGGTCTACCCAGGTCTCATCGAGAACGGGGGGTGAAGTTGTGAAGAAGCCTGCCAATTCTTTGAGGGAAACCATGGGAAACCCATCAAAAGGTCAAACACATGTAGAAAACCACCCAAAACATTGAAACACCAGGTGAGACCTGCACGGACCCTCTCGACTTCTTCCCCATGTCTCCCGTGCCTTTGATGCCACCATGCACCCAGCGTGCTCAGGCCGCTCTGGAGACTCTGGAGGACTCGGAGATGGATCCGGCCAGGACGGTCCTGAAGGAGTTCATCGCGGAGGTCGTCCACAGCGAGGAGGCCCTTTGGTGGTAGATCACCTTGGACCCAGCGGTGGATCCTGCTGGGTCCGGATGTGTCGGTGATTTGGTAGATGATGGTTGTACATGGTGGGTCATAGATCAACTGTAAGATCACATTGAATTGATGGGAGGGCCCAAGAAAGTGGATGTATTGAACCGGATGTCCGCGGTTTTTCGCCAGGCCTCGGCGGCGGAGACTCTGTTGAAGCTCCGCGAAGCCTACGTGGAGTTGGACGTGAGGGGCCGAAAGCGAGTTCGATGGATCGAGAGGGAGCGAGAAGGAGGTCAGGTTCCTAGGCAGACCAAGGTCCAGGCAGGAGCCACTGTCCACACTGATTGTTGGGGTGATCAACCCATGAATCCATGAGAATGTATGGAATTCTTGGTCTCTCGATGGCGAAGTAAACCCAGATCAAGCAATTGCAGGTAAGATCCTCTACTGATTCACCTTCAAATATACTTTGATCATCTTTGATCCTTGAAGAGACTTGGTTTTGGGACGTCAATGCCGCCCATCCTCCAGGATGGGCTACATGCACGATTCTCGGAGCCCATGGAGCAAGAGCGGGCGCGGGATGGCGTCGAGAATCGTCAAGACATGTCGAATCCGCGGGGGTCCTGAGCAGACGGTGTCCATGGTGCTCGATGTTTTGGGCAAGCTTATGCCTCTCAGCTACTAGGAGCAAGGGGCATCGCTACTAGGAGCAAGGACGCTACTAAGGGCTCCTGGCCTTACTAAATGAATCGTTATTGGGGGGTAATGGGTGCATGTCAAAGTCTGTTTACCACGGGTGAGTTTCTTGCAGTTTGCCCTGAAGCGCAGTTTGCTCACTTAAAAATTAGACTCTTATGCCACTTATGCCTTAGATATTGCGTGTCTTTGCGATCCCTTCTCAGTTCAAATCGCCAGGCCGAATCGGGAATTCTGAGCCTCATCGCATTGGTGAGACGGGACTACGAAATGTCACTTGGCAGTTGACATATGCTTTGCGTCTCAAGACTTGCAGAGCTCCCTCTTGTGCCTCACAGTTTGAGGACCATCCTTCATGGTTATAATATAAGATGGTCATCCTTCCAGAGGAATACTAGTAGGTGGCCTTTCAGTTGTTTGGACATAACGTCATTTCCCCAACACTCCGTGGCCAGGCAATGCCGGGCATGTTCACTTACATTGGGGTGGTTTCAGGATGTTTCAGGCGTCCATGTCGCCATATTACTTAAAACCTATTCCATACATAGGAGAGTTTGGGTTTGTTGCTGCTGAACATCGAGTTCCGCCGAGCTCGGTCATAGCTCCGAGAAGCCCAGGTTTGTGACCCCCCAAAAGGCGGACATGGCCCTGTCGCGGGCCCAATGGGATGCATTGCAGGACCGGGGCAGCACCAAAAGGGATCGTTGTCATGCGGCCGTGCCAAGAACCCCCCAATAGACATATGGATATAACATTACTGTATTTGTGTTAAACATCTATATATATGTAATGTTGGATCCTGATTAGTAATAGGTTCCTCTATAATGCTTTTTTTGGGGGGGGATCCTAATTTTTTATTATCTGAACAATATTTGTGGTTATTTTTTCCTTCTGAACCCTGTCCCTGCACTCCCACTCCCTTCCCGGGCAAGCAGCCAGCAGCAGCACAACAAAACACTAACAACCACACAGAAACCACATCAGGTGTTACAACCCTGGTCCTTGGCTGAGGTAAGACTGCTTCTTGGCCTGAGCTGCCTCCTTGTGGAGGTGGTATCTGAGGCATTTGTAGGGGTCACATGCCAAGCACCCAGATTGCCACCTGCACCTGTCCAATGCAGTTTCTAAGGCCAAGACAGCCTCAGTAGCAGACTCAGACAAATTCTTCCAGGTGAAGGTGACTGAGTTCTTATCCACCAGCTGCTGAGCAGTGATGTAAGCCTGAGTGGTGACATTCTTGAGGGTCTTGAGCTTGGCCTGGGCCTTCCCAGAGTTTGTTTCACCTCAGCTTGCTGCTTGGAGAGCTTGTCTTGCTCTTTCTGAACTGCCTCAGTCAAAGCTTCAGCTTCTGAGGCCAGCTTGTCAGAGGCTGTCTTCAATCTTTGCTTCCATGCTTTCCAGCCTGCCTCAGGCCAAACTGAAAGCCATTCACCCCTCAAGGTTCTGAGCTCACTCTCCATGTAGTGGAGCACATAGCCACCACAGGCATTGGAGCCAATGGGCTGCTTGGCCACATTCCTGAGAGGTGGCAGCTCAAGCTTAGGGTCCAGCAGCTTTCCCATCCTCAGTTGGATAGGGTGGGACTCCGCATGCTCCTGGCTGAGGGTGTCATACCTTCTCCATGTGATGGGCTGCTGAGGGCCTTCGCGCTCACCCACCAGTAGGGTCCAGTGGAAGGGTGCATAGATGGACCTTGGTGGACTCAAGCCAGTGGTCCTGAATGCCAGCCTCCAAGCCTGCCAGCTCATAGGGGTCATCTTGCTCATTGAGAATCTTGCTGAGGATGGGGTCAACACAGTTGATTCCCAGCTCCTCAGGGCTTGGCATATTGTTCTTTCTCATCATCCATCTGAGAAGAACCCACCCCATCCACACATGCTGGTCTTCAAGCTCAGCAACCTCTAAAGGGCAGGGAAGAATTGTGTGGAAGGACCACTCTTCTTTCTTCAATGAGATCTGGTCCTCAGGGTTGCTGCTGAGCAGCCTCAACATGAGCTTGGTGTCAGCCTTGCTGAGCTGGCTCCACTTGGGCCATGTGGCTGGCTTGACAGCTTGCTGTGTAAGGTGGAGAAACCACGTATCGGAAGGGCGGAGATGCATTTTCGCTCCAAGCGCCCAGCTCCCCCCCCCCCATGCCGAACATTGGCCCAAATGTTCCTCCAAAACTAGTAGAGCGAACCTTGCGGGATTGTCGACCAATTTGGTACACCCCGCCCTAGGGTTGGACGGCTTATGTGCCGACAATGATTGGAAGCAGATGGGCCCAGACCGCAACCTGCAGGACATCCTCGAGTGGGCGCAACCTAACCCTGACAAGCTCGCGGGTGCCATGCGCCTCGAAGTGAATGCCGTGTACATTTTAGCCAGCATGGTAGATGTGGCTGAGAACTGTGCCAAGGTCGAAACATGTTGGAAAAATTGTTTCCAGGTTCCTTGTCAGAGGATGCAGCGAGGGAATCTTTTAGAGGGGCCTTTAATTTTCCAAGCGCACGTTGGAGCTCTACCCCTGTGAACCATTGTTTTGTCCATGATCAAGTACATGGATTGCATCCACTTGCACTATCATCCACAGCCCTTAGAGTAACGAATTGCGAGAATTGAGCAGTCGAGTGGTACCTGAATGGCCTCTCCCAAGCAGCAGGACTTGCGATCCTTAGTGACTCAGTGAGGTACTGGAACCGGTCGGTGCTATACGTGACATGCAATTTTTTGGTATGGATCATGATCAAATGGTGTTTATTGATGTATTGTGGTCACATATGTCAATCCGTTGTAAACCACGGGATGAACGCATAATAAACATCATTGAGTCCACATGACCATGAATTCCCCAGACCTGCCCGCGGCCATCTCAAAGCGTAGCGCACTGGAGACCGAGGTTTTTGGTAGCCATCAAAGGCTTAGGCAGGGCTGCCTGTCCAGCCTGCGGGCACTGTAAAGCGCATCGGGTGGTTGAAGCGAAAGACCCATTTGCTAGACGCGAAAGACTAATCCTGGGAACAGACTGTGCTCGCCCAACTGGACCTGCTACGTTTAAGAATCAGAAACAGCTCAGTAGCAGTATAGCAGTATATATATATATATATTTAGAAGGAAGGTACTTTTGTGGGGCACCAAAGTCTTTGACAGAGACTTAATGCTGGGCATGGGTTGTTTGACCACCTTGTCGCAGATGGGCGCTTTGCAAGTGATATCACGAGGGACGGACTGTGTGATTTCAGTATTGAACGATGGGACTCCATAGGAAGGTGTGTTTCTCAGCATGCAATCGCTGCACCTTGCCGCAAAAAATTGTTGGTATTCTGGAAGGTCGTCCCCAGCACATCATCCCGAAAATTTTGGTGCTAGCACCTAAAGCATCAATCGGCTGGCTGCTACATTCCAAAAACAATATTTGTGCGTGTCTGAAGAGCACTTTCATCCGCCATTGGACACACAAGTTGCCTCCTAGGTCCTAGCCACTTAGTCGGAGCCACTTGGCTTACTCGTAATTAAGCAACAAAATCAACAAACCGCACCCGTTTGCCGATGAATTTTCGCTGTTGCAGAGCCTCGGCTCGGAGGTAAGTTCAGGAGCCTCACGGGGCAAATGCCCCGCGAAGACCAAAGGCCCGAGAAAGCTTTGCTCTACTTGTTGCGGAGGCTTGGCTGCAGGAGGCCCCCTGGTGCGACGGGACATGCAAGAAGCCACCGTCAGTTATGCGGGTCGTCCATCTGAAGAAGTGTGAGGTCTCAGCAGAACACCTGCCCATTTGATGCTTGGGTCGTGTACAAGCAGTTATTGTTGGTAGGCTCAATGAGCGTTACGCTACTGACGCTACTGCTGTTGGTTATGCTGCTGCGTTTTTTTGGAGCATGCATGTGGTCGATGTCTTTGATGATCTCCATTTGCAGACCAACCCTTTGACATGCACACTGTCACATTTGCATACGCACCATCAATGCATCATCATAATTCTACCAAAGGGCTTTACGCAAACAAGGATTTCATGTCGACATGTCTTCTTTTTTTGCACAACTTGATGGGTCCCCTCAGCCCATCCCCACAGACCTCAAAAGATGGGAGAGTTGGGAATTCTGTCAGCTTTGGCACATGGAGAAGACTGTCATCTGATATGTTTCACATCTTGACAGCATGAACGGTAAAAAGAAGGTGCATGTTTTCTGAACGAGCTATCCGTACGTCCTTAATATCTCTTAGCCGGTTGACCGATTGCTAAGTCACCTTTTCGAGGCACAAGTCTTCAACCAGTCTTCCTTTGAACCGAGGTTTCATCCGCATGCGGTGCCGAGCTTGAATGAGATGAGCGAGGAGGCGCAGGCGCTGACGGCCGGAACAGCGAAAGGGCTTGAATATGTTTAGGAAACGATGCTCTTGGTCGCATGGCCGCAGCCGCAGCATAAGTCTTTTTAAGGAGATCCATTGATTGTAGAAAGGGTGGTTTCATTTGTGAGCAAGGGGGTTGCTGCTATACACACCTGCGCTCGAGGCCCAGATCCAAAACAACAGTGGCATAGGCATAGCCATGCATAGCTGTAGAATATCAACACCTATAGACCCACCTGAGCTTTTCAATGCTTTTCACATGACTGCTAAAAGATGCAAACAATAAACGGTCTCGCAGGAGTTTGTGATCGGAATCTTGGAGCTTCAACAGTCCTTCAACTTTGCTCAAATGCTCCAGGCCGCGGTTTGAGGGACCGGGCGTGCATACACCCAGCGGCTGGTACTGTAGCAATTCTGGAATTCGGCAGGGGTGTTGCCACAGGCAGAGGTAAGTGGCCGGCCGTAAACGTGAAGTGGCAATCCACTCCTTTCGACATGTTCTTTCGTCGGAATGTGATTGGTGCACTGGGTGGGCTCAAGCTAGACATGTCCAGCGGTGGCACGCACGCGCAGGCCGAGAATGTGCCCGCCAACCTAGCGAAGCCTCTTGGATTCAGGGATCTAGACTGAAAATCCATCAAGCCACCCACCGACAACCGCATGAACGCTGAGCATCAGGACCCGCAAAAGAATGGACGGCGCATCATGGGACGAAACGGCTCGTGGATCTGGTGGGGCGCACAGCTCGCGGCAGTCTGCCGAAACGGCTCATTGGTGTGCCGTGTTTGATACATTGCTCGGTGGGACCGGTTCGTGAAGACTAGGCCCTGGCCTTGGCTCAAGGCGAGCCAGTGACTTTGTGCAGGTTGCCCATTGCGAAATTCCGTTTCTGCAACAACGAATCAATTAAACTGACCCCTTTGTCTATTGATGGCTGTCATTTGCCTTTCCAAGTGTGGCCAAGACCCCAAATTGCGTTTCCGTATGCCGGTGGGCTATTCACTCGTCTCCCAGCAGCTGCATGCCCATACTCTCCTGGGCGTTTCACGGGCTCGGCCTTTCGGTAAAACGCCGGTTTGTCAGCCGGTTCCGCTGAGGCTTCAAGCACAAATTCGAGAGCGACAAGGCATTGATCTCTTGAAGTTTTACGTGCTCTTTCTCTTGGCCTTCATGAGTGGTTTAGCTGGCGGACGGGGATCACGCCTCTCACCTGAAGCCTGAAATCTGCCGGGAGTTGCTGGGATCGCCGGTGTGCCATGGACGAAGCAGCTGGTTCACCAGCCAGTTTGGGGGATCCATGAAGGTGAAGTTCACCCGATCCAGATCCTCCCTGCGTGGAGAGTGGCTGAACCGCACAGGAGCAACATGATATGTTTCTGATACTTTTGCTACCAATGGGAACAAATGCAGATTTGTGATTTGAGTGAGCATTTCTGGGCGAATGGTATCTGATTGCTGAGGCTGAGGCAGCTGTATATTATATATATATATATATCTGTGTGTGTGTGTTTTAACTGTTGCAATATGTCATTATATGATATGTGATGTGATGATTATATGTAAATGAGCTGATTTTCCTTTCCACCAGGAATCATGTTGTTGAGAAATAGACCACTCGAGGCAGGCTGAACATAAACACTATACAGTAAATTTTACACACTGCCTTTTTGGTTTTGCTCCGAAACCACTGCCCAAGCTCATGAGTGTAGACCTTAAAGCTCCCCCGTGGGCTTGTGCAATTGTCATGCATAAGGTTTGATGCGTGATTAGTGGTCAGTTTGCGGCAACACTCACATAAGTACAAATACAATCATTTTAATACCCGCTTGCGGCTTAGCACCACTTTCATGTCACTGCAACGTGGACACTGGCCCTGGCAGCGTAAGAGACTCACAGTTGAAAACCCTCATCCTTGGTGTTGAACTCTTTGCGCTGCTATTGGGTTGGAGGCCATCGCTCTTAGGTTGGAGGCCATCCCTCTTAGGTTGGAGGGCCATTGCTATTATGTTGCAGGCCATTGCCATTACGTAGGTTGGAGGCCATCGCTATTACGTAGGTTGGAGGCCATCGCTATTAGGTTGCAGGCCATCGCTATTAGGTTGGAGGCCATTGCTATTAGGTTGGAGGCCATTGCGATTAGGTTGGAGGCCATTGCTGTTAGGTTGGAGGCCATTGCTGTTAGGTTGCAGGCCATCACTGTTAGGTTGCAGGCCATTGCCATTACGTAGGTGGGAGGGCATTGCTATTAGGTTGAGGCCATCGCTATTAGGTTGCAGGCCATTGCTACTACGTAGGTTGGAGGCCATCGCTATTGGTTGGAGGCGATCGCTATTAGGTTGGAGGCCATTGCTATTAGGTTGGAGGCCATTGCTATTAGGTTGGAGGCCATTGCTATTAGGTTGAAGGCCATTGCTATTAGGTTGGAGGCCATTGCTATTGGGTTGGAGGCCATTGCTATTAGGTTGGAGGCCATTGCTATTGGGTTGGAGTGCCATTGCTACTGGGTTGAGGGGTTAGAGGCCATTGCTATTAATTAGGTTGGAGGCCATTGCTATTAGGTTGGAGGCCATTGCTATTAGGTTGGAGGCCATTGCTATTAGGTTGGAAGCCATTGCTATTGGGTTGGAGGCCATTGCTATTAGGTTGGAGGTTGCTACTGGGTTGAGGGGTTGGAGGCCGTTGCTATTAGGTTGGAGGCCATTGCTATTAGGTTGGAAGCCATTGCCATTAGGTTGGAGGCCATTGCTATTAGGTTGGAGGCCATTGCTATTGGGTTGGAGTGCCATTGCTACTGGGGTGAGGCGTTAGAGGCCATTGCTATTAGGTTGGAGGCCATTGCTATTAGGTTTTGAGGCCATTGCTATTGGGTTGGAGGCCATTGCTATTGGGTTAGAGGCCATTGCTATTAGGTTGGAGGCCATTGCTATTAGGTTGGAGGCCAATGCTGTTGGGTTGGAGGCCATTCCTATTAGGTTGGAGGCCATTGCTATCAGGTTGGAGGCCATTGCTATTAGGTTGGAAGCCATTGCTATTAGGTTGGAGGCCATTGCTATTAGGTTGGACGCCATTGCTATTGGGTTGGAGTGCGATTGCTACTGGGTTGAGTTGGAGGCCATCATTGCTACTGGGTTGAGGGGTTGGAGGCCATTGCTATTAGGTTGGAGGCCATTGCTACTAGGTTGAAGGCCATTGTTATTAGGTTGGAGGCCATTGTTATTGGGTTGGAGGCCATTGCTATTGGGTTGGAGGCCATTGCTATTG